CTGCTACCCAAATAGTATAACATGAAATAGTATAACAGGCTGAAACAGGAAGAGTGAAATACTGCCCTCTCTCTTTCCCACTTCTGCATTCACTTCCAGAATACAAAGGAATGGTTACTACGTAAAAAGGAGAGAAAGGGGAGATAAATTTCAAATAAATGTAATTTTTCCCTTAAACCTCTGCCAAAAACTCCATTTGTGATAGTTTTGGGTTTTTCCCCCCCAATTTTATAATGACAGAATGGAGCTTAGGAGGGAGCAACAGATGATGCCGTCTGGAGATTCTGGCAAAATCCTGGTGCTGGACCCAGCCAATTTCTGCTGCAGTGCCCTGATTGGCAGATGTTTTTCCCTGTGTGATGACATATGGAAAAGGAGAACAGCAAAGCTCAGCCATCACTTTCGCCTAGCCTGCATTACATATACAGTATACAATTAGGACAACATTATTTGACATAGACACACTAGAGGCAGGATGGGGATCAGCAGTGGGGTATAATTTTATACTGGATTTATGTTAGAGAGTCAAGGATGGATGGAAAGCAATTTAACTCAGCAGTGGACAAAATTCCTCTCGCTCGTTCTAAGAGGAGAAAAAAATGTTATACAAACATGTTCATAACTTCTATCTTCTTGTAACACTGAGTGTCAATCTTATTTGGTATTTTTTCTATCTCTGAAATTAGTTTACTTGTGCATAGAATTTAGTGTTTGTAATTTTAGATGTTTTTATATTCCTAAATATCTTTATTTATTTATATTATTCCCTTAGTTTATTCAAAAAGTCAAACTTTTTGGACATAAGATCAAGAAAAATATGGCCAAGAATTGAAAGACTATGGATCAAATCTCAAATTAGTATCAAAGCTCTCAAGGTAACATTGGGCCAATTAGTTGCATTTAGTCTAACTTGTCTCAGAATTTTCAAAGGTTATATTAGGGACAGAGAGAAAACTGAGTTTTGAATTCCTTAAATTGCAAATAAATAGATCCTGTTTGCATTCCTCGATTCCCCCCCCCCCAATTTAACTATAACTAAGTTACTAAGTTAATCGTGCTAACTCAGCCCAGGAATTCTGGGGACTGCAGTCCCATTTGAAAGATGCCAATTTGGATAAGGTTGTGTTAAACAAATTTTATTTGGATAAATAAGGGATGAAGTGAAAGCAGTTACAGTACATTAAAGTGTCATTTTGAACTTGATTCATGTACTTTATTTTTTCCATGCTTCAAATCACACCTAGAGGTTGGGCCTCTGATTATAAGAAATATGCTGGCTCAGGTTGATCAGGACAGGGAACCATAATATTTACAAATCTCCATGCGCTAGTTTGCCCTGGCAAATCTCTCCAGACTTTGACATTGTGGCCTGAAAACAAGTTGCCCTTCCAGTGTTCTTGGGAAGGTAACAGCTCTTCTCTTGATTCAGTCTGCCCCATCATTCATAATTTGCCTGCTCTCGGTCACAGCAGTACATTTGGAAAAATCTGGTACTTTGGCAATTGCTAAGTTCCCTGACGTCATTTATTCATAAGCCATGTGCTGGAGAGAGAAGCAGAGAGAGCTCTGTATGGCCAGCCTTTGGCTTGACAAGAGAAGCCCCCCCCCCCCCCCCCCAGGCTTCACCAGGAAAGTAGTCAAGAAGTTCTCTGGGCTCATCCTGTGTAAGGCATCTTCTTTCAGCTGGGCCCTGCAGATGGGTGGGGCTAACTCCATTTATGGGAAATCAAGTTTGAGAGCACAGTTTGGGACTGGTAAAAAATAGCCTAGTTCATCCCAGATGGGTCTTTCCCTGAAAAGAGAGAGAAAAGGACTTGCCAGAATGATGAGCTCAGGGCTATTTTGAGGCTTCCCCCACCTCTGTCCGGCTCTTCATGTCAGCAACCTACTCTTTAATTTATAAGCAAACAGGCAGTTGCCACTAGCACATTTTTGCCTGGGATGCGGGCTACAGCCAAGGCAACAAGCTTCCTGTTTACTGTTCGTTGCTCCACTGGGCAATGGGGAGGGAGCAGCTACTGCCAGGATGAGGCCACAGAGTGTGAGCCAGTAGCAGGTGCCTAGGAGGTGTCGTGAATGTGTTGCTACTTGGAGGAGTCAGCAGTCCAACAAATCATAGCAAAGGTGGAACTGGATTACAGGGAGCTGTGGGACGAAATCAAGGGCAAGGAATGCGGAGCAAGACTGACTCATCTAGCAGGTTGAGAGCTACGTAGTGGGTACAGCCTGATCGTCTGCCTGATCCTAAAAAGAGAGCAACCTTAAAGGAATAGGCAGCAAAATGTCAGACCTGAAATTTAGAAAATCCCTCAATGCAAAAAGAATTTAAGTGTATCCATGTTTACAGGACACATTTACCCACAGTTAACATTAATAGAGAGTTGCTCTCTGACAATCTGAGAAGAGACTTGAATATGTCTACAAAAAATTATAGCAGCCGAACCTGGAATATTTTGCATCCAAAGTTTACATTTTGCCACTGAACCACACATATTCTTAGTACGTTAAAAATATTTGTTGCACCCAATAATGCTATTATCCCCTAGAAACTGAAGTTTGGGGGAAATTAACCATATTTTCCAGAGCCATATTTGCTGTGGGTGGTATAGACATTTTTTAAAACACCAATTAAGGAGAATTCCAGCCCTCATAGGCAAATTAGTTTATATTAGCAAGACATTTAAAAGCTCTGCTTAACGCTAGGATTCATTTGTGATATCTCAGTAACATCATGGAAATATCCAATTATTGTCCATGATACTAACCCAAACACAACCAAAATATTCTGATGGTTGCTGATGACTTTATCTCAGTAAATCTGCCAAAAATTGCTGGGTAGCTTGTTTTGCTTGGACATCTATTCCAGAGCTCTTCCTGTTGGTACCATTGGAAATGATAGTACGAGCAGTACATGCACTAAAGGAATGGTAGGAAATCTGGTAGCCTCCAGATGTTTTGGAGTATAACTCTTGTAATTCCTTGAACTGGCCTTTCTGGATAAGGCAGAATGAACACGGAGGATACAATATTTGAAGGATAGCATGATGGCCTCTTCTTATTCTAAATAGATTCAAGGCAAAACAGGCTCTAATTGGATTGGAGATGACAGAACTATAGGGTTTCCTGCCTGAGCAGGGGGTTGGACTAGATGATCTCCAAGGTCCCTTCCAACTTTATTATTATTATTAGTCTATATTTTCCTTTCTTCGACTTTTTCTCAATGCATTTAAAAAGAAAAAAAAAAGCTTTACCCAGAACAGCCGAGTGCAGTACTGCAAGCCACTTTAGCTGACTGTGTTCAGCAGATCAGCGGTTCAAATCTCACCGGCTCAAGGTTGACTCAGCCTTCCATCCTTCCGGGGTAGGTAAAATGAGGACCCAGATTGTTGGGGGCAATGTAAATATATATATACATTGCTTACTGGTGTACACCGCTTAGAGAGTGCTTGCACTTAAAGCGGTATATAAGTCTCATAAATAAATAAATAAATACAGATCAGATGCCATGGATTATTTTTGCTGGTTTGGGTTGAGAAGTGCAAACCATGGTTCAAATGATAGCCACTCCTTTCAGCGGAATAATCATTCTTTTCAAGATTGATTGTGGTACAGATTGTGATTAATTTTTATTGTTGTTGAAAATGAGTTGTTCATACTGAACAACAGCATAAAGAACTAAAAAGAGTAGTGGTGTTTTCAGATCCCTTATTTAGGGACCAATCTGTCTAGTGACCAATCTCCAATTTTCCCAGAAGTACAACTATCATTGCTATGCTATAGAGTGCACACATTTGATATTCATGATAAAACAAAAACAAATCCATAATAGTTCACACTTATTTCAAATATATCTATTGTGTGCTAGTTGTGAGACAAGATATAATTTGAAAAGAAAAATCTGTCACCAATGACTGAAGGACTCTTTCTTTGTTAAGTGAAAATAAGTATAGCTGTGTTTACATAAATTCGGTGGCACTAAATTAATCCAGTGAACAATAATATAACAAACAGGCTGAATTTGAATAACTTTGTAAGTCACCAGAAAAGCAGATGGTGGTGGTGATAGTGGGAATGAACAACTACAGGTTACTACTACAAACTGAGGACTATAGCCATAGATGAGACCATAGAGGAACATGACACTCCACATGTTTTTGAAAACAACTTTCATCCTCTGTTCTTGGGTTGCAGTTGGAGATCTGGAGTTCAGACCATAATGCAAAGCACTGGACACTCTTTGGGTGCAGGAGGGTCATCTAGAAAGAAGCACTTCACCGGCTCCACCAAATCAGAGATGTAAGGATCCAAATGACTATTAGGTGGCAGCAAAAAGGTACAGAAACCCCTACGGTAGCCTTTCCCGTCCTCTGGTGGTTATCTAGATTTCAGCAGCTCAGATCTGATAGCTACGTCTGTGCTGCGACTCTGAAGGCCACCTCGCCTTCCTTCTCTAACCTTGCAATAGCCTTTCGCAATCCATTTTGTACTTCTGATGGCTTGATTACTCCACGAGGTCCCCGATTTGGGGGCCATCCACCGGGGAACCTGCATCGTGCAAATCTTCCAATCCTTGAAATGTGAACCGTCCCTCCCACCCAACGGTGCTCCTACCCTTTCCTCTTGCAAAATGCGTCTTTGCCCTTCCTGCTGCTAACGTTTTTTAAGTACTGCAGAAACCCAACAGGTGAACCCCCTTCCCCCGATAAAGAGATATAGGATTGCTTTATCGTGGAGGTTCTGCGGTTCCTTTGGGGCGTTGGGCGGGGAGGGGGAAGAACCCTGCCCGGGAATACCCAAACGCAGAGGGGCCGGGGGCACCTTTTTCAACCCTCGGGGGGGGGGGAGGCGTCCTCTCGGGTACTCTGAGGCGCTCGCCCGCCCTGCCCAGATTCATGCAGGAGCCAGAGCCGAAGGGCGGATGCCGCGGATAAAAAGGGTGGGACGGGACGGGTTGCTGGCAAAACTCGCGCTGGCCGCTTTCTCCGCCGGGGTCTCTACGGGACCTTGTCAGCCAGAGGTTTTGCAGCGGGCGACCAGCCTCCCCCCCCCTTTAGAGCCAGCTGCCGACAACAGGTTTGTCGGACCCGGGAGAGCACCTCTTCCCCTTGTTCCTTGGCTGCACGTGAGTAACTGGCTGACGAGCCTACAAGACCGACTCTGGATGCTGCTGCCTGTGGGTGCGCGGGAGGAGGAGTTGTGTGTGTGTGGGGGGGGGGTCTGCTTTTACATAACTCCTTTAACTTGGAAGCACTGAATCATAAATTGAAGATGGAGTAGAATCATAAAACAGACTAAGCTAACCCCCCCCCCAAGGAAAAAACAGTAAAAACAAAAAAGGCTACTAAATGCTAAGTACTGATAAAATACCCAGTACCTCTGACTTGCCCTGGTTAAGTGCCCCGGAGCTCCTCTGGAACTGAACATAAGGGAAGGAGCCCAATTTGTCCTTTAGCACAGTCCCCGAGCAGCATGGAATGGATAAATCAAACCCCTCAGTGAAGTATGTTAGATTGAGATCAATGGGCACGGGGAGAGAGGGCGATGGACTTGTATCTGCATGGCTGTCCCCTCTCCGTAAGCTATGCTTTGCATGGAAAGGCATCAAGTGTTCAGATAGAAATGCCTCTCAAAACCCTGGTCACAAATATAGAAGGCTATAGCAACCAATCATTTCATTCTACTGATGTGGCAGGATTTTGGAGGAGGTGGCATCCTGCTCTTGTGGGTGGTTGGGGGTGTGTGTGCTGTCCCTTTGGCAGGTATGTCTGTGCCTGCTTCCCCCTTTGTCATTCTCCTTCCGTTGAGGAAGAGGGGAAGAATCTGGGACTTCTTAAGATTTGCCATATTGCTAAGTGCTTATGAATAATTTACAATGCAATTGTTATTTGCTACTCCTGATTTTTATTTTTTTTAAAAATTTCCTCCTGGTTATTTTTATACTGTTGCTATAAATTATCTTGTCTATTAAGAAAAAGAGGGATTCTCTGGTAAGAAGTGCCACTGACCCTTTCCTTTCCCATGTTCCTTTATCAAATTTCCTTGCCTTCCAGGGGTCTCCACCAGCACTGGACCAGAAATGCACTCTCTGCAGGTGTATCCTCTTACCTTCCTCCTCCTCCTCCTCCTCCTCCTATGTCTTCAAGTTCCTAGCTGGGCAAAACATCCCAAAATTAAGCTGCGCTTGGTGGGGCCCAGGAGCCAAGCAGGTGAAGGGCGGCTGGAGGTGCTGTACAAAGGACAGTGGGGCACAGTGTGTGATGATGACTTCAACATCCATGTGGCAAATGTGGCCTGCAGAGAGCTGGGCTATGATCAGGCCATAAACTGGGCTCACAGCGCCAAATATGGCTCAGGAGATGGTAAGGATGGGCAGGAATGGAGAATGTTGTTGGTCTCAAGTACTTTGTAGTGCTTCCAGACCTGGGTTGTGATACCCATTTTCAGTGCCAAGAGCTGGAAACTCACTAATAAAGGTGGTATTTAGTATGAAAGTACTCAAATTATTTAAGCTCTACAGTAGCTTTCAGGTAACTATGTAACCTTCAAGTAGCTATGTAACTTCCTGGTCTAAGGGATCATGTGAACCAGCAAGATTTTATTTTTCATTGGCTCACAACCACTCTTAATTGGAAGATGGGGGAGATTGCATCCCACACATCTCACATTTTTCTCTTTCAGCAAGAGATAGCAAAACAGTTCTGTATAGCAAGTGGGCTCTTACAATGCTGTAGGTACTTTGGGCTATGTTCACTTCAACTTCAGGTGAAAGTCTGTAAGTGCTAAACATTGCCAAAAGAAAGTAGGGACAAAGTCTAATAAAAGTAACACATTGGCCATAGTGTGCTCATCTTAAATTAAATGTAAATACAATACAATACAATACATTTGTATTTAGGAATACATTTGTATTCATGAAACCAGATTTCCCACATTCTCTGTGCTTTTTTGTCCACTAATCCAGCCTTCTTCATGTATGCTCTTCAGATACACTGGAATGCAAGTGTTATCAGTTGTTCTGATGGGGAATGATGGGAATTGTATTCCAGCTGGAGGGTACTTAGTTGGGGAAGGCTACTCTAGTCTGATCACTATCCAGATGTTTCCCATTTTCCTATACCTCTCCTATGCTTCATCAAATATGTACTTAACAAGAGGTTCTTTTTGGTGATATAAAATTAAATTATTTGTTCTGATATAACAATCTTTGCTTGATTTCTCAAAATGATCCATATATATTATAAGTAATGTTTGATTTGAAAGACTGACAAAACCGACAAATGTAAACAGGAAGTACTGTGGCTTTTGCTAGGAAAGGCAGTGAGATCAGGCTGGGGAAAATTAAACACAGCAAAGAGCAACCAGGGCTTCTACTTGTGATCTTATGTATCTACAGGTCCCATCTGGCTGGACAATATACGCTGCTCAGGTACCGAAAGCTCCCTGGCTGAATGTGCCTCCAATGGTTGGGGGGTGACTGATTGCAACCATAATGAAGATAGTGGCGTGGTGTGCACAGGGCCCCGCCGACTCAATTCTGCTGCTTCACATGTCCAGCTGCAGGTGAGGACCTGATTAGAGACTGGAGTTGCTTCCTTTCTATAGTGACAATTTGGAGCAAATACTATGTGTTCACATTTGGAAGTCCTGCTGAGATCAATGCCCACAGAAATGTAATGATCAGTGGGTTTTGTCCCTGCACCGTTGCTGACCATATGCATTTGATAATCTCACTTTTTGTTAACGGCCACCCCAAAATGGAGGTGAATATCCATTCTTTCTCTTGGGCAGGGTACAAAGGTAGAGGAGGTACGGATCAAGCCGATACTGGCCCGAGCCAAATTAAGCTCTCCTGTCACAGAAGGTGCGGTAGAAGCAAAGATCCAGGGACGCTGGCGTCAGGTGTGTGATGCTGGCTGGACTCGAAACAATACTCGTGTACTGTGTGGGATGCTAGGATTCCCCTATGAAGGACAGGTGGCCACAGGATTCTACAGGTAAGAGTGAGAAGTACTAAGGGCTACGTGTGCAATGTTATATTTATGATGAAGAAAGAAATAAACATAATCTGGAGGGTCCACCTTTTAATGTTAACATAAGGCGCAGCATAAGCATCAGGTGATTCTTTTGTTAAGAAAACAGTGGTGTTTCTGTGTCTTCTCTAAAATTTCCTTTTGTTTCTCCTGAGAGGCCTGTTCAATTCCTGTGATTTTGTGGGTTCTTTTTCTCCCCACGCACTGGTAGTTCCATGTGCTTGTTTCCTTCTGTCCATCTTCTACACTCCACCCACTATTCTCTTTCTAAATACAGTCCTGCAATGAGCAGTTATGGATGCCAGGGCCATTTTACCATGGGGTCCAGCCAAACCGCAGTGGGGTAATTATAGTGAAGACTGTACTTTTCAGAACCTGCACTTTCTGGCTGTAGCTTATGCATCAGTTCTATGGGACTAGCATTCCAGAGTCAATGTCTAGACCAGGGGTAGGCAACCTTGGCTCTTTTATGACTCGTGGACTTCAATACCCAGAATTCCTGAGCCAGCAGCTGGCTCAGGAATTCTGGGTATTGAAGTCCATGAGTCATAAAAGAGCCAAGGTTGCCTACCCCTGGTCTAGACCATCCTAACTTGGTGTGGTGTCCTCCCAAAGTGTTAGGTCACAAATGAAGCCATGTTTGATGCGCCTAGGTTGAGGAAGATGAACACATTCTCTGAATGCCAACATGATCTGTGGACACATTGTTTTTTTTACCACATGGGTAAAGATGTTATAAGCTTTGGTCTGCATCATCTTCAAGTACTTCTATTTTTTCTATGATGATAGCCATAGCTGTACACTTTATTTATGGGAACATCTGTGCAGATACTAGTTCAGGAGTGGCAGGGGCTTTAAATAATGGTACAAACCAGTGGATAGTGCTGTCACCTTTCCTAAAAGAACAGATGAGAATACGAAGGACCATAGCTCCAATGTACTTGGTAATTCAATGAAATGAGAATTCAGAAAGAGTTTTTTTTTTTTAAAAAAAACCCCTAAACATTGTCAACAAACCTGCTGTAAAATATCTGAGTTATACATCTACTGTTTTTGCAAGGCATTTTTAATGCTGCTATCAAAGTGCATTTATATTTGATTATCTAACCTTTCAGGAAACTCTGGAATCAGAAAATGAAGGATCCAAGATCCAGGTAAGGAGTTGGCTCATTGCAATATTCAGTATATGGGACAAGGAGATTCTGGGGCCTCTAGAGTTTATTTGCAGGATTGCTTCCTGTGCCTTTGAGCAGTTAATTCACCAAATTTCAAAGCCTTTCCCCACTTGTGTCTAATGATGACATTTACCTGCCCCCCTTTCTGATGTGTTCCAATAATGTTGCCATCTTTTCCTCACCAACCATGAACGAGACAGGTTGAAGTCATGTGTCAGTGTTAAAGCACCGTTTTCTTCCTTATACTGACACCACTGAAGGACAGACTCTAGATGTTTAAATTCTGCTAGGCGTTGTCACCTTGGCGCAAACTCAGGTGACTCCAGTGACTGGAAACAAAGGCAATAGAAACAGGATAGCAAGTGAGGACAGCAAATTTCACGCTACTACAGTTTTCTGCTAACTCAAGGATGGTGGATAGCACTTCGGTTCAGCCATGGAAAAAGCCTTCTGGAGGATGGCCAGAAGGATTATTATCTGACAAAAGGCAGTAATTTCTTCCCTTGTTTTGCAGCCTAAAAAGCCTGAGCAAGAAGAATACCTTCTGGATCCATCAGATTAAGTGCCTGGGCACTGAGGTTCACTTGGGTCAATGCAAACTACATGTGCTTCCAAAAGCTCAGAATCAAAGTGCCTGCCCACATGGTATACATGCCTTGGTCAACTGTATAGCAGGTCCTGAATTCCAGCCCAAGAAAGCCAAACTATCCAGCCATAGCAAGCCTAAACAGGTAAAAGGAAGACCATTTTCCAAAGAATAAAAATAGAGGCTCATATATCTTGACAGGTAGACTCATGGTGAAGAGCAGTAACCATAGTGAAACCATAGGATCTACTGTACTAGGGCAAGGATCAGTCTAATTCTCTGTCAGGATGATTTCAGACAAAGGGTTCACTGAATAGATCCTATAGATTTGTTCCATCTTAGAATAGCAGTGGAAAAACGAAAGAGTTACGGAAGACATCTGCGCAGCCTTAGAACTTTCATGAAATACTAAAAATGAAATAGGAGAACTACAATTTAAAAACCTTAGGTGGAAGCCTACCAGTTTCCCTGTTGGCTGTTGACATAGAACAAAAATCCGTCTTTCATAAATGTCACTAATCCACTCTTAGTCTCTAATCTATCTCCATTCCATTCGTTAGTCCCTAATCTCTGTTTCCATTCCAGCAGGAACCCAAGGTGCGTCTCCGTGCAGGTGCACACATAGGTGAAGGGCGTGTGGAAGTGCTAATAGGTAACCAGTGGGGCACTGTGTGTGATGAAGGCTGGAATCTACTTGCTGCCAGTGTGGTGTGTCGGCAGTTAGGTTATGGCACTGCACGAGAAGCTCTTTCAGGAGCACAGTTGGGCCAAGGTGAGTGGAAGGGATGAAGCAAATCATAAAGTGGGTGACGTAAGGTTCAAAGCAGGAAACTTGCATCCTTGACAAATATGGAAGGAGAAGGAAGATTCTGGATAAGTTATTCCTAAGAAATGTTTCATGGAGTTTCTCTGAAGCAAGCAAAACCCAGAAAGGGTGACAAAGTTCTGTAATACCAGAGATAAATTTCAGGAACAGGAAGAAGAGGATTAATTTGGGGAAGACTGAATTGTGGGACCAAAGTAAAAGAATGGAAGCTAGGAAGATCCATGTATTCCTAGTGAGAGAGAATCAGACTGATAACTGTGCATGTGGGAAAGATTTTGGGGTATAGTGTGTGTGATATGCAATGTGATGCGATCCATCCCTATCAAGAATAATTCATGTTACAGGCCTGGGTCCTATCCATTTAACAAAAGTGCGGTGCAAGGGACATGAACCATCACTGATGGACTGCAGGTCCCAAAAAGCAGCTCAGACAGGATGCCGGCATGACAATGATGTTGCTGTCCGCTGCAATGTGCCCCAAACAGATGCCCAACATCAAGTAAGATCCAGTTCTTTGACTAAAAACCAAAACCAGAATTATATCATAATTCTTCTGTTCTATTAAGCCAGTTTTCATCCATGCAGATTCGTCTGGCTGGTGGGCGCACTTCAGAGGAAGGTGTTGTGGAAGTCCTGGTGCCCAGAGGAAGTGCCTTCCGCTGGGGTGCTGTGTGTGGGGAACACTGGGGACTCATGGAGGCCATGGTTGCTTGTCGACAGAGGGGGCTGGGCTTTGCAAGCCATGCTCTCCAGGTAAGCGATTGTCTGCATTGTTTTCTGATAATGTTAAGTACTGAATGCACCAGCACAATGCTGACTTGCTTACTCAGTTGCAAAGATGGTACCTGAGGCTTTTTGTTCCAAGCTTTCAGGTTAATCATGATTAGGCAAGGGCTTAAAGGAAACCTGGGAGCTTATGTAACCCAAGACAAGGATTTCAAATTCAGAGTCTGTACTTACTTGGTTTCTACCCCTTTGTTCCTATTCCAGGAAACATGGTACTGGCAAGGCAATGCAGATGCTTCTGAGGTGGTGCTGAGCGGTGTGCGCTGTAAAGGCACAGAACTGTCTATCCTACAATGCCAGCACCACGGACCCGTGCATTGTCCTAATGGGGGTGGCCGTTTTGTTGCAGGAGTCACCTGCACCCAGAGTAAGTGGAAATAGGAATGGTCTGGCCTGGGGGTATTTAAAGCTAAGACAGTGGGATCACATATAGTAGAGCAGCTACCATAGGCATCACAGCAGTCTTGAGAGTCACCTTTTTGCTTAGAACAAAGACAGATATTTCTTTTCTTTTTTGGGTTATATTGAGGTTGAAGAAAGGAATGTTTGCTGAGAGAGTGCAAAATATACAGTATGATGGACAAATCTGGAGAATGTGATCTATTTGGAGTGGGGTGTCAACTGCCTAACATTATGGGCCTAGAATTCACACTGTATGGATTTAAGACTTCATACTCCACTTGTCTTTTTAGATGCCCCAGATCTAGTAATGAATGCCCACCTGATACAGGAGACGGCTTATCTTGAGGACCGCCCATTGAACATGCTATATTGTGCCCATGAGGAAGGCTGCCTTTCTGCCTCTGCTGACCGTATGAACTGGCCAGAGGGGCATCGACGCCTGCTGCGCTTCTCCTCTCAGATTCACAACCTGGGCCAGGCTGACTTCCTTCCCAAAATTGGCCGTCATGCATGGATATGGCATGAATGCCACAGGTAGTGGGCAGTTCTTGACACAACATGGCCAGTAATACGTGCTTCTTTGTCATATGAAAATGCTATTGCTATCCGATGCATGTGTACAATCAAAAGCTAAAAGCTGTTGTTAATTCCTGTTGGTAATTTTGTTTAGTCATTTAAAAAAAACACGTCCAGACTTTTCCTTTTCTAAACCTAGCCTTTTCATTTCCCTGTAAGTTAAAGCTCACGTGTCCCACTGAAAGATATCCACCCTGGCCAACTCTTTTATGGTGGAAGCTCAGTTTGTTGCATCTGGGAAAATAGCAATGTTTATGCTAAAGCTGTCATTATGGTTGAGCATGGATGAAGAGCTATAATAGCAATTGAGCCAAAAGCCCCACTTAATTCTTATACATTGCTTTGTTTCATGGCTCAGCAGATCTTTGCTTTTCGCTACCACAAGAAGCAGGAAGGACTGTTTGGCTATTGCCTAGACAAGCCCACTTCTTCCAAGCAGTAGTTTTTCCTGACCTATAGTAGCCTTCTAATTCCTCGTTTTCATCATCCCACAGACATTTCCACAGCATTGAGGTTTTCACACATTACGACTTACTGACACTCAATGGTTCCAAGGTGGCTGAGGGACACAAGGCCAGCTTCTGTCTGGAGGACACCAACTGCCCAGAAGGTAAGAGTAAAAATTCATGAAACTCAAAGGTGACAGTAACAAAATTAGACCCAAATACTACATACAGTACATACATCAGAAGTATATTGTGAGTGAGACAAGGCCTACTTTCTCCCACTTAGCCTATTCTTTTCCATATAGGAATGCAGCGGCGTTTTGGCTGTGCTAATTTTGGAGAGCAGGGTGTCAGTGTAGGTTGCTGGGACACATACAGACATGATATTGACTGCCAGTGGATAGATATCACTGATGTGCCTTCTGGGAGTTACATATTCCAGGTAAGTCTGGGAAGGAATCTGGCTTGGTCTAAACACAGAAGTATTATTTCTAAGCAACTTCCTAGGCCTAAATTTGGCCCGTTGTCAGTTGCTTTGTTGTGGATTTTTTTTCTTACTAAAACTGGGAAGGGGCACAGAGAAGATGAGAAGAGAGCAAACAACCTAAACTACAAGCCATCCTCCCCCCCTTTCTTTTGTCAGGTTGTAGTGAACCCTAAGCAGGAGGTAGCAGAGTCTGACTTTTCCAACAATGCCCTTCGCTGTCAGTGCCAGTATGAGGGACATCGTATTTGGTTGCATGGATGCCATACAGGTATACACACAACAGAAAGCCTTAACCTGGTTGGAAAATAAAATGTGTACCCACAGCCTGGTGCTATATCCTGCCCTTTGGCATTGCCAGTGGGGTTAACAGCTCTCCTTTCTTCTGTCTTGTTTGTAGGTGACGAGTATGGTGCCATGATAGAGTGGGATGAGGAAGCACAACGGAGATTGAGCAGCAACTTTGTCTAAGGCAAATATTCCAGATACAGCTGGAATTCCCAAAGAACCCGGATCCAGATCTTCTCACAGCTCAAAACAATTCAGCATGGGCTATGGTAGAATCCAAGCAGATGCTGGCTAGCACAAGAACTAGACTCTACAGACAGATTATTTCAAGACCCTCTTCTCCTCCCCCAGCCATTTGTCCAGGATTGACACACACAGTGGTACCACAGACTTTATGGCTGTGCTGTGGCTATCACTCCTTTGCGTTACATTACATAGTCCAGCTTGTCTGGTCCGCTTTCTCTATTTATTCAGCTTGGCAACTATGGTCAAATATGGGACTGAAATGACCTGATGGGGGACACTACAGTCTTTCTCATGCCCAGCTAAGAGAATAGTACAGAGCAAAGAGGACCATGCTTTTGCCTTGCTGGCGGAAGGGGTGTGTGAGTATTGCAACCCAGAAAAACTACCTCAGCCAGCATCATCTGCTGACAAGCTTTTATCTCAGGAGCCTGGTTCATCTCAAGACATATCAAACCATCTCATGACATATCATTGTTTTCAGCCCCATATTCCCCTTTGCCACAAAGGCATACAACAGCATGCAACATGCCAGTAGACCCAAGCATCCATACCCACCTTACCTCTGGTGCAGAAGAGCTTCATCCTGCCATGGATGTAGATACCTCCAGATCCAAAAATTCAAGTCAGACCAAAGGATGCAGAAAAGGCACCTATGAACCCTTCTGTAAGAAGACACTACTTGGGCCATGCTATTAGTTTAAATAGTAAGAGATTAGGGAAGTGGGACAGTATTATTAACTATGGAGTTAGTAATGTGCAATGAATTGTGATGGTTAATAGGGAGTGTAAAATACTATTTGGGGATCACCTGCTCAGGGAAGAATCACGAGCCTCTCCCAAGAAAAACAAAAGGTGAAATTTTGTACAATTTATGAAGTTTGACCCTGCCAATAAAAGGCTTTTTGAACCACATAATAATAATCATGCTTGAATGACAGAAATTACAGGCAGAGTTTCTTGTGACATCCACTTTTTTAATGTGAGTTCAAACGACAAAGTCCAGCTGAGAAAGCATGGAAACAGCACAGCCAATCTGTTTGTCTGCCCACCTGTCTGGAGCAGGGAAGCAATGCTTCAGAAGCAGCAGCATTAGACTGGCTCAGGATAGCAGAGGATAGTGCTCACAGAGAATGGTAGAGAGATGGCTGGAAGCAGGATTGCCTCAAATCCAAAGGGAATATCCACAGATCTCCCAGTAGGAGTGAAGCAAGCCATGTGCCCATGAGGGAGAAGTCAGGCAGAAAGAGTTGATTATAGCAACGCGGCACCTGCCTCCCTCAGCAGTCCCACTGCAGTGTTCATCTAGGGAACAAATAAAGCTTAGATATATAGGCAGGAGCTTGTAATACATCAGGCACTGTGGAAGGGGGAGGGACAGCTCTCAGGCCCATGTCAAGGAAGGAAGAGGAATGGATGGGAGTGATTTATGCCTGCCCCAAGGAAAGCCAATACTCAACGGCCCCATTGATCTCCAGCACCACATTGGAGTTGTACTATAACTGTAATCTCCCCCTCCCCAAAGCAAGCTTGCTTTTCTCTTCCAACTGAGCTCAGCTGGAGTGCTCACCTTCATTGGCAATCCTGTAATGGATTAACAAGCAGCCAGAAATAGGCTAATCTGCCTGGCCTTCTTGGGGATGGAGTCCAGCTTATTTCATAATGAATCATGGGGGAGGGGGCAGAGAAGCACTCTCTCCTTTAAAAGTGGAGGAAGAATGTGTGGTGCAGTGGGAGATGGAAAGAGCTTAGCAGAGACCAACCCTGTTTTTCCTGTAAGGCCCCATCAGAGGTTCCACTCATTGGGAAAAGTACCTGATCACAAAAATGCTGATATACAATTCTTCCAAATTCACAAACTAGCAAAGGAGTATTTTAGCTGAAACGGAGCCTTCGCAACAGTTTGGCTCCTCCTCTGAAACAATTCTCTTTAAAAAGTGTTACTGGACTGGTGGTAATCTATTTTATGTGAAGTAGGGAGGGTCAGGAGATTTTTTATTTTTCCCAGACCTGTGACAATTCAGGCAGTGGGACGCTGATTCTCATTATCTGAATTCTCAACCGGAAAGAGAACTGATTCGCTCATGGGGCTTTCTGGGCTTCAAGGCCAAGAGAAATGTGTGTGTGTGGGGGGGGGGAAATTAAGGTTGGCTTCAATTTGGTTTCTGGAGAATGGGTGTGAAAATGGAGTGAAAAAAATTGTAATAATTTTATTAAATGTTACAATTAAAAAGATAAAAGCTAATACAAACTAAAAAAGATATTAAAAAATATAATTTTTTTAACCTTGACCAAATAAACCAATTTTATATTTATTTCCCTTATATTTCACAATCTTGTTCTGTAATCTCTTCAAATATGTACCAGATTTATTTTCCTTTGTATCATTTCATAAAATCCTTCAAAATTCAGCAGGCCTCTTTTATAAATTTAACACAGGAAGGTTATCCAAGTCATTCTTCTGTTTTTTTATTTACTGGTATATATCCCTTTTCATTATTAAGACATCAGCCAGTTTCATTCGTATACCCAACATATCATCTTTTTTCCAGATCATTCTTGTAGTCTGCCATTTTTAAATCCATGTTCAAATCAATATCAGTCTTATCTGGTAGAACCTGTTCCTCTTTTATAAAATCATTTACACACTGTTTATCTAAACATTGTAGGCAGGCATTCTTTTGTTCACACATATCCTTTAATATCCTTCAATGTGTCCAATGTTAAAGTGTTTTGCTCCATTCTGTGTTGGTAAGCCAAGTTTAAGTGGACATCTCCTTTAATTGTAATCTTGGGTTCCCTTTAGTGTCCAACTTTCAAGGTCCCATCCTATCTTTTTTTTCAGAATTCAAAACACCAGCCATTTCCCATAGGAAACCTTCTTATAATTAACTCCAAAATTTTATTTCAATTACATATAGACCTTCAGCCCATTTACAACTTTCAAAAAACAACACTCTAATAATCAATCTTTTGCCATTAATTCCCCCAAAGAAGAATTTTTCTAAATTCTGAAAAAGAGGCAGAGTTTATTAAACTTCACTTGTCTCTTCTGTTCAGCATCAAGCAGTAGCAGTATGAAGACCAATCTTCTGTTAGGTAGAGGAAACATCCATTTCATATACTTTGACAGGAAGCAGTGTTAAGATGCTATAGAACATAAGTGTGCATGTTCTGTTGCTTTTGAAGCTATAGAAATTGCTGTCACACTGAAATAATACTTTGTGTATGGAATGGAATAAAGGGTCCTCATGCTCTTCATCTCAAGTAGTGTCTTGATATGGTCTTTATTCTTTAAAGTACAAGCAAGAATTCTCTTCAACTCTGAAGAAGACAGTAAAAAATGAGACCTAAGCTCTCTTCCTGGAAAACATGTATATCTTTCCTGGTTTTCTCATGGAGAAACTCCAGGAGTTTCTGGAAAGCAATTTCAACACTTTTGTACACATTATTTTAGCTGTGAGTATAATATAAGTTCAATATTTATTTGTGCGACCAATATTCTTAGTAAGCTTCTTCAGCAAATTTTCTCACCAACTCGCAATTCAAGGGGAGTCATTTTTCATGAAATATCTTGTATGTACAACCTCAGACTTCCATCTTCCAGCTCAGTGCTATGCTAACTCTGCAATATGAGACTGATTCTATTTTCTTAGACTCCTCATCTCCTTTGATTTTTTTTCTCCTTGTCATCATTTGTATCAAGTAATTTATGTGATCTTCGCTCTGAAGATTAAATATCTCTGCTAGATGGACCAGACAGGCATAAGGGAAGCAGAAATAACTGAAACATGGGGAACAGGAAAAGCAAAAGAGAAATTGATTGCAATCTGCAGGATGGATTTAACAGTGGAAGCTGAACAGAACCTTCATGGTTTAATGGAGGGCACAGGCAAGAAGGCAACCATATTTGAGGCTTACATGGAACAGAAAGGACATGAAAGAACATAGAATTCATATTCATTCTATGACATAAAATCCTCATCTATTAATTTAATGCCATTTTTCATGCTGATGTGCAAAAAAAGCCTAGCGCCTCAAATTTTCACTTGCTCAATATGCTCATTCCCTACATTTTCATATCCCCCACATCTCCATAAATTATCTGTCTGCTTCTTAGTCATTTCTCCTTCACTTCCAAACTTCTTGCACAGCCTCTTCTTAATTATATACAGACTCACATTTACCTTACTCATTTAATTCTCCATTTTAAGGTATTAGAGTATGCAAAAGATTTCTAGTCTGAATTATTTGAGGTTGAAACACCCCATTTCAGACTCAAAATGGCTGTCCCAACTTCACCAAAAGCGTTTGATGCTGCTCTGACCCTTATTGAAGTGTTCAAATATCAAAATTCTTGTTTCAAAAGTACGAGTTTGAGGCTTTTGGAGTCATTAACTTTACACCATGTCACATCTGTGCTGTTTCCAGATACTTGCCAACTTTACCAATCAAGAGATATCATACAGTTATTCTGTCTTTATATATTTCCTTAAGTAGTGGAAGACAAAATATGTTATTGTCAGCAACCTCTCATAAAATTTGAAGTGTATGGCAGGCTGATCAAGCAGAAAAGTCTCTTCTAGAAGTTCCTATGTGCCTGGTACTTCTGCAAAGAACACTTAGACCAGTGTTTTTAACCTTGCCAGATAGAAAACATGTGGATTTCAACCCCCAGAATTCTGGAAGTTGAAGTCCACATATCTTCAAATTGCCAAAGTTGAGAAACACTGACTTAGACTGTTCTTATGATGGTGAGGCAACTTCCATCCAACTTTCATGTCTCAAAAAGCAATTCCAACAACACTAGATGTATATTTGGACAGGGAAGAATACTTAATTTTTCTCAGAAAGAAAGCACTACATTTTAAATAGCTGGAAAAATGCACATGTTTTCCCAAGAGAAATGCAACCATGAAAAGAGGATTATATATACAACAGATGAACAAGAAATGGAAATTTATCACGCAACAAACAGAGGGAACTGAATTCCACTGGAACGGATTACAATGATTCCTTAATAGATGGCAAAGATCCAAACTCTCATTCCAACTCAACTCAATTAAACTGAGGATTTAAGAAATGAAGAAAGAATTAAACATACCACTCCGGAGGATATTTTCTTTCATAGCCATTTATGGTACTGCTTCAATACTACTTTTGAGTATTAAATGTTCTTCATAATACCAATAGGGCTGAATTTAGCTAAAATATTATTTCCTGATAAAGTAGCGCCTGAGTCACAATAGGATCACTGCAGAGGAGAATGGGCAGGGTGCCCAAGCCAGAATTGGCCGGATCAGATTTTCCAAGTTTCTATCTTGAAATGTGCAGTAAATTCAATAATTGTATTCTGCAACCAACAATGGCCAGGTTTCCTTGGATGACCGCAGTTCTGATATGAAAATACCTAGAAACATTTTGCCATTTTAAAAAGTATTCTTGCTTTGAACCAAATTACTGACTCTTGTGTTAACACATTTCTCCTCTTCCTAACCCCAGTTCAGGAGTGCTGCAGTGAGGGAATATTCAGAAGGTGAAATCTGAAGATGCTTTACCAACGATCAATGCCCAGAAAAAAAATGAATCAGCTGCTGGCACAGTTTTAGGCCTGTGCCACTGAACCTTGCAGAGGATCCAGCAACCCACAAGAATCAAACTGGGCTTAAATTATGTGAGAATGAGTACGTGGTCAGAGGAAGGCCCTTGAGAGGGATTGTGTTAAACAACCAGGAGAGATAGAGAGTCAGAGCCCAGCAAGCTCCTCTAATCCTTCCAGGAATGTCCAACTGACCAGCCCATAATTGATATCAGGGTTCTCCAACCTATCTGAGTCAGAGCCAGGTTTGAGTTTTGTGAGCGCATCACAGGCACTCACACCACAGGTTGCCATGAGGGGGAGAAGAGTGGGTGGA